ATAACTCAAGGTTCATAGTTTAGGAAGCCCTTGTGTTTACTTCCCAAGTGCGGAGTGTTCCCAACTTTTGTCAGCTCGAACCCACAACTGCCTGGATGACAACTCCATTGTTAACTTCGTAGATACACTTGGACTATATTTTTTTTTAGTTTTCTTTGTACAATCGCCTCTGTTGTTTCTTCTGATTCCCAGACACCAGGATTCCGGAGCAAAACCTTTTACGATTCTACCAATTACGTACTGTCTCTTGAACCTTATATGAGTCTTATAATTACATTTTATTTCTTTTGATAATTGAGAACGAACGTCACGCACCATACGTCGTATGAGTAATATATAGATGTATAAAAATGTGTAAGATTATCAGTCGAAAAAGCGCATACTTGAAAGAGCAAGAAATGCTGAAAAACCTTCGACATGGAACACGCAATCATTCCTTCCTTACTCTGCCAACATCATGGATCCTTAGAACAGGGAAATGGTTTCATCCCCCATTTCCTCGATCTAAACGATTCGCAGAGTACGCGGCTGGTAATACAGGGCTAAAACACTGCGCTGTATCGTCATAAGAGATGAATACATGTAATTCCATTGTCCGGCAATCGCTGCGAACGATCGCATCACTTATTGTGATTATATCAGTTTATTGTGTTAAACAATATTAACGCAGTAAAACGCTGTAAACTACTTTTATGTCAAGTATCACCGAAACACCATGTTACGTTTTTTATTTTTATTTTTGAATATCCAATTGTTTGAAAATTGTTCAAATGTTCTACAGAATGTAAAATACAATTTAATTAATATGTATTGGTTGGTACCACATTTGTTGTCCGCCAATTCGCGTCAGCAAACCTTTTTTCGCAATAGTCTGTAATGCATCCATCAAACCAATTCAAGCGAGCAAAACCTTATCCACATTACGCCTGCGAGTAGGCAACCCTTCCATCACGGCAGCACTGCAGGCGCGGAGTCCGCAACGCAGGGGCTTTCTCACGGTCGCTTCGGAGGCGGAGCGCTCCCACGTGGGAGGAGCGCCTTGTTCGTGCACGTGTGCCTTGTAGCGAGTGTTGACAAGTCTCCTGGCTTTCTAGAACTCCCAATTCCGTCTCTTAGACTAACAAGACCAGGAAAATACGGAACACGTGTTGAGTGGAGCGAGAGGGAAGCAGCTCCGAAGGGCTGCCGTGAAATGTCTATACAGTCTGTCGGTGAGAGCAACAGGTGGACGGACCCGCCGAACTCAAAACGCATGGAGTGTGCGTGGGCATATTTCGAAGCTGTGTTTGTGTATTTCTTTCTTTGTAAATATGCACTATAATAAGAGGTCAGTAACTAACATTCATATCGACAACAAGTTATGTTTACCGCAAGTTTCCCTTGTTTACAGCAGTGTAAATTGCAAAATATAAATACTAGTTAGCTTATAAGAATATAATGTAAATAATCCGAATTCAAAAAATTCCATGTGTTATAGCATGCTCATATTCAAAAGTCATAATTTACCGCACCAGGATTACACGTGACAGTGAAATTTTGAAATAATATCCTGATAATTGATTGATTATAGATTATAAAGCATACTTACGTCTTTTTTCATGGCATCCAAGATGAGCGACTTGAGTTCGTTAAGGCAATGGTTGATACGAGCTCGCCGTCTCTTCTCCATAATGGGTTTGTTGCTCTGTAAAAAGATCATACGTCATTGCTATTAAATAAAAGATAGCTCAAAATGTAAGCATTTATTATGAACATCAGTGTAATAAATTTTGAACTACTACGCAGCATTTCGGGTGAGGACAATACTCGCTCTTTATGCAACGGTTCGGAAGCAGCTGCCGAGTTGGGCAGAATGGAGAATCTACAAGTCAATGAATAGTGCGATAAGATAAATAATGTCAATGGGCACAAACACGCTATTTTCTTGGAACACATTTATGAATTACTTTTTATATCTTGCCTTAGGCCTAAAATAAATAAGGCTTCTTTAGAAAAGCATTCTTGACCTATCAACAATAGTCAAATAAAGAAATGAATAAAATAGTAACCAGTTTTACTGTAGTAGTAATAATGTGGAAAAAATTAGTCTTTCATCGCGTGTCCACTTACTCTCGAAAACTAGTCTCGCGATTATCGTATGATGCCATTCATTTTAATGAACATGATGTCGCATTGCCTGCTTCCGAAGTGCGGAATTCCACCTCCTTTCCTTCATTGATTAACTAATTCTGTGGGTGTGCATCTCGTTACCAAAATGGAATTTTAAAAGCCGGAATTTTTAAGGTAAGTAATATCATTGCAAAGATTAAAACAGCAACAAAATAAAAGACATTTTTTTATACAATACTAAATGCTATATTTAAAACAACATGTGCATTAATACACTGTATTCCAAAGGACTTAGATGAAGGAGGAAGAATTGATCGTTATATCTGTAGAACATCTCCCATGGTGTGTTCTCTGAACTTATTTTTAATTATAAACAATTCTTCAGAAAGGAAGCTACGAATTTTTTTACGTTATTAAAGATTCCTTCCTCTGAAACTCTTTTCGCGAATAAGCATATACAAAAAGTGAAATGCATTATTCACATATAATTAGAATTTTGATTTAAAATTATTAAAAGTACATGTCAGAGGTTTTAGCATAATCGCCGAATGTCACTCCCACATAAACACTGTAAAGAAACAATCCAAATCCGTAATTTTTCCCTTCAGATGGTATCCATCGTTTAGAGACTACCGACAAGAAAGTAAGATAATAAAACCATCCATAGTAATATATAAAGTAGCCATTTTAATATATTCACATCCCAAAGAGTAATAGTATAGAGTTGAATTATATTGTATTAAAATTTAATAAAATATAATCAAATAAAAATGTCAATTTCTAATGCTTTATTTTTCAAAAAATGAAACTTTTATTCATTACGGATTTCGAATTGTGACAATGTATCAATGATACGTATTTTAATTAATTAGATGACTTTTGTCTTCCCCTTGACGTTACGAGAAATGCAACCCGCACAGCAATATTTCGTTCTGAAAAGATCCCTCACGTATGTAAATTTTCCAAATACTATTTATTTCGTTTCTTCTTAATTAAGATGATTGACAATTGCATAATGGAACAATAGACAATCACACACATGAAAAGTTGCTGGAAAACTATTTTCTTTCTAGTTATACATAGTAATGCTGCAAATCGTTGCATGCGGCAATGCAGGGCATTATCTATTTTAAATAGTTTCCACTATTTATAATAATAGTTGCATATAAAATTATTTAACCTCTTAAACTATTTTATAATTCACTCAATGCAACAATAGAACCCTGTAATGCAACTAATCTGCATGATACAAATTCTCACAGATATTTCTGTAACTAGAAGCGTTTGAAGAAAGCATATTGCTTTATCAATATTCGCTTTCGATAACTAGAACGTTTATACAATTTCTGCAATAACCCATCATGTCAGAAAATCTTCGAATAATTTATTTTCCTCTACAGATTCCAATGAAAGTGGATAACCGAGATATCAATAGTATATTACACCAACGTAAGAAAAGTACCTCACGAATAACAAACTTTTTCTCTGTAGTTTTATCAAAGGATGCATACAACAAAGATGCATTTTGAGCCACAGTGTTATTTTTACTTTGAGAGAGTGTTGTACTTCTGAGATCCACAATTAAGGATACTTGTCCACCTCACTAACAAATCTTTACATAAAGATTACATTTTAAGGTAAGCTTACTGAACGTTACCATAAAAAAGGTGCTTCTTGAAAAGGTTCTTTCTTGGCGGTGTAATGTAAGTAAGTGGTGTGTGGTAAAGAATGGGACTTTGGGCGCAGGGGGTGACTCAACCGGCCATGTGGTGGGGGGAGCTGTTTACTGTAGGTCGCGAGAAATAATCATCGTGGAATCAACTTACAGGCCACTCACTCTGGCAACGGGTTACGTGAGCTTCTAAGCCATTCATCACTCCACTCATCAGCTCAATTTCGCACACTTCACTCAACGACACTTTTGCTAGGCTTCCCTCTCTTTGTGAACATTTTTATTCATTAAACTATTATCAACTATTTCATTTCAAGTTACCAACTTCCAGAATGTTATGTGATGTATTGTATTCAACAACGTAAAGATCACAATCACGTTAGAAAAAAAGTAAATATTATCATGAACCGCAGTGTTTACATACAGTACCTTCAGTTCACATATTTAGTAACTGATCAGAACGGTGCAATTTTAACCGTTGAATAGTCTTTTTGAACAGATCGAATTATATTTCCAGGTTATCAATGGTCCACGATTTCGGATCCAAGGTGAGAACTCTATAGAACATAAAAATGTCCACCATTATCGCAATTTCGACTACACCCGAAACACTTGATTGTCACTGTCCCATTTCTTTTTATTAAACATTCTAATATTTTAAAATTATGGAACGAATGTAAAGATGAAAATTAATTGTATGTGTGATCGTAATCCACCAATATAACGGGAAAGTACTATAAGTTGATATTTTTGGACACCATTAGTTTAACATTTACATATACACTGAATAACTATATAAAAACAAAACAAATTAATATTATATGATTATTTGTTTAATATTATAAAGCTAGACACGGGGGAATAACATACGTTCTAAATCTATACTCACAACAACAAATGCTTTATCTCTCGAAAAAATTGAAAATAAAAATAAAAAGGTTTGAAAACACTTGAATAAAATCGATGAAAATCCACGAGTTTGGGCCACAAACCATATGACATTATTCCTCCGATATATAAAAACTTAGAATAAGATTGTCACAGACTGACACAATGTTCACACCACACAGTACACAAATATCACGACCTGTCAACGAATCTCACTCACCCGTCTCTGTTCCGCTTTGGACATTCCATGCTGCGGCTGCCCTGGATGGTGGTCGTACTCATCCTCGCTGATAGGCATGGCGGACGCTCCGTCGGCACTGTCACTGTCACACTAACCGTCAACGAGCACTGTCACTGGGGCGGCGGCGCGGGTGGGCGAGCGGCGGGCGACGCGGCTGGCTGGCAGGCCCTGCCACCACGTGTCCGATGGGCAGTGCGGCTGGCGGGTGACTGAGGCGGCGTGGGGCGGGCGGCTCCGGGCCCGGCCCCCTCCGGGCCCCGCGGGGCGCGCCCCCCCCCTCCCGTCCCCCTCTCGCCCGACACCTCCCCCCTCCCGTTCACTGATAATCACGCTGATGCCGCCGCCGCCGCCGCGCACCTCGCCGAGCAGCCGCGTGGAGGGGGCACGCTGGGAGCCGATGCACAGTGGGTGCGAACGGCAATGTTTTGAAACGTCATTTAGATTAAGTTTGGTAGGTTTTTGGCACTCGCTAAAAATGCGAAATGTTACCAAACGCTTTAAAAATTTTGTAATTGTACGTCTGACAGTTTCTGAAGGTCTTCAATCTGCGATAAATGCGGAACACACACTCACACAGAGAAGAAAAGTCGAAATGACAGTTTTTTTTCTTTCTAGGGGCTCAAGACTTGGGCCTGTTTTGTGAGGTTCGCGTTTTCGACAGTTACTTTTCCCTAACCTATGTTTGTCATCGCCTAGATTCCGTAGAAGACGAACCGCGGCGATTAGCTTCAATATGTCAACAGCGTAGCTGCAGAACACCTTGAGTTAGGTAAGGTGGGTGAGAGATTTTGGTGCGTAGCCACTTGAATATTCGTCGTTCAATGAATATTCGCTGATCGTTTTCTGGAAATTCGGGAAAGTGTATGCGTCTTGGTTTAACACATTTTAAAAATGAGTAATGATAATATGATAATTCTTCAAAATTACTTGTTTTAGGCAATATTAGGAAAAAATAATATTAAAATATGCATCGACCGTCTTTTTAGGACATATTATGCATTACTAGATGTTTTCAGTGGATCTATTTTTTAATGACTCGTAAACATCTGCAATTATTTTACACAATCTGTTAAGGAACTAAATAGGCATTTATACTAAAATCCTGGTCTACTCATGTCATCTGACCCCGAAATAAATTTCTTTGATATCCGGTGGTTAGTTTCAAAACGCGATTCAGTGGCGACTCTAAGGATATGCCGCTCCCGAGAGAAGTTTTTGTAATGTTACTCAAATTATTGAAAACAATTAACATGTTCGTGTCACATCCAAAAGAATATTCCCATAATAATCCCCCTGATATACTTTCTGGATCCGTCTTGTGGCAATTGCAATATACTTAAACACATTTTGAGGGGACCCAATACGTGAACGAAATTGTCATCTTTTAATTACTTTATCTTTTAACAAATTCGACATTTAACATTTATTTACCGAACGTAATCATGTATAAAATTATGTTTGGAATCTAACGTTGAGTTTCGTCTACTTAACCCCAAGTCATAATACGTAAATCAAAGATTCTGGATTTTCTGCAAATGTCAGTACAGTGTAAAATTTTTAATCTTATTTCCATTGATATTTCCACCAAGAAATGACAACATTAGTTTGCCACATGCAACGACTTCAAGAAGTTTAACCCTAGAGCCTAATATTTACATTACATAATTAGTATATTTCAGACTATTAACCAATGTAAGTATGTAAGTATGTAGTACATTTAAGAGAAGAATCAAGTGTGCATTGTAAGTATACTATATAAGATTTGTAAGTAAGCACTTCCCCTATGTAACTCCTCAACCCAGTAAAAGTGCATTAAATTGAATACCGCTGATCTGGACGGCCGAGTTGGGTAAGAACGTGTACCGACTCAGCGCGTCGGTCCGAAGGGTCGCAGGTTCGAACCCTGCTCAGGACACGATTGTTTTGTCTCGAGCCTCTGATGTATGTGTTATCGCGGAGGGCCTCGCGTTCCGTAGACCCCAGAACAGAGTAGCCCGCATGTCTGTTGGTGTCGAATATGCGCCCCATCGGAGTGAAAAGGATAACCGGCTGTCGGCTGGGTAAAAGTCTTAGAAGGAAAAAAAAGAAGGAAAAAAAAGAAGGAAAAAAAGGAAGGAAAAGAAAGAAAAAAATTAAAAAAAGAAAAAATAAAGGGAAAAATAGAATTCTACCTTCGCCCCAGCTGACTCCGCGCGCCCCCACTGTGCGGCGCATCAGCTGAGCGCTGTGGAGGCGCGCGGCGCGTGTGGACGTACGCGGCGCAGGGGTAAGGTCGCGCCGCCGCACAATGCGCGCGATAGGAGCCAGAGGCGGAGGGGAGGGCGTGGAGGGGCCGTGGAGGGGCGGCGCGAGGGCAAAGGGGAGCGCAGAGCGGCGTCGACCGGACCGTGGGAATCCGTCGGCAGACGGTCAGGGGTGCTCCGCCGCCTCCGCCGCCGCCGCCGCGTGCCGCCGCCGAGGCGAGGACCCCGTTGGCCCCGAGTGGGCGTCTGCGTGGAGTGGGGGAGTGGAGGGGGGGGGGAAGGCGGTGCGCGCGAAATTGATGGACTGCGCGGCTTGTAGCTGCTGGGGAAGGGGGAGGGTGCACAAGTGGGAAGTGCACAGTAGCTTTCAACTTCTTCAGCAATTCTCCTTTTTTGCAATCGGCTTTTCTAGGACATTTTGCAATCATCACTATATTTTTGATTGTTGTAAATATTAATACTGAAACTGCTGAGAATAGAAGGCATCGCATCACACAAAAACAACTGGCACATAGTACGTGAGCAAGAAGATGCTGGAGAAGTGGAGGAACAAGTGGGAAATGCACAATAGCATTCAACTTCGTCAACTATTCTCTTTTGCAATTACGTTTCTAGAATATTTTGCAACCACCTCTGTATTTCAGATTGTTGTAAATATTAATACCAAACTGTTGAGAACTGTAGACCTCGCGTGAATCAAACGACAAGAAGTTGCAAATAGTACGTAAACCAGGAGCTGCCGGAGAAGAGAAAGAACAAGTGGGAAATCCACAGCAGCATTCAACTTCTTCAAATTTTCTCTTTTGAAATCACGTTCCTAGAATATTTTGCAACCACCACTGTATTTCTAATTGTTGTAAATATTAATACCAAAGTGCTGAGAGCAGTAGAACTCTCCTCAAAACAAATAAAAACACACCTTTGGGAACATTCAGGTCAAAAAAAGGAAAATCGAACGCAGTTGATCGTGCCTGTTTAAAAAAAACAAGTTGATTCTTCAAATGACGATCAGATAAATTAAAAGAGGACATCGCTTTCTTCAGTTAATTAATCAGCATATCTACTAATGCCGATCCGGTGGCCGAGATCGCTAAGGCAGTAGTGCAGTAGCCATCTCATACCGAAAGATCGCGGGTTCGAGTCCCGCCTCGGGCATGGTTGTATTGTGTTCCTCCTTTCACCCCTATCATCATCATCACCATATCAGGGAAGGCAATGAAAAACCACCCTGAATAATTTATCCCAAGAAAACCCGTTATGGGTCTCCTAACTTCCGTATATGGAAGATAGGACCAAAGAAGAAGATATCTCATAATATTTGATTATCCTTTCCCTCAATCAAATCAAATAAAGTTTTAAACATTCCGATTATGTGTTTTGGCTATGAGCTTATCATTAAGTATCATGTTTCACACAGGACCAAGTATTTTAGTAGCACTCAATCTAACAATCGTTAGTTACTATTAGGTTTTGTTAACGTAATTTTCATCAAGTAAATTGAAATAAATCGTTAAATCAGATTGTTAGTCGTACAAGACTGCACACCGCACAAGAGAAGTTAGAGGTTTTGATGATCGTTCGGAGTTCGTACTATTTGGAGCATGTGCTTTGAAATTTGAGGACGTTTCAGATCTGTCGATAGAGATATCTACAAACCTTATCATCCACTATTTCCATGTTTTCGTAGTTTCCTAGAATTTTATTATAAATAACCATTGCTAACTATAGTTGAAATAATGGGATATATTCTTGGGCAGATATTACAACTGCTTCTGGATTGGCTTGTCTCCGCCTCTTGTGCCACTCTTGGCGGATCTAAATTTTTCCGTTATTTTGTTATATTGTCTATGAAGTGTATTGTATATCCACAGTTTCTTCGCAATTTTGAATTATTATTACTATTATCAGTCGCGAATATAATTCTATCGTCTCCAGTTACGATTCCTTGAAACGTACTGAAAAAATAGTTGCCCGCATAACAGAAAAAAATCATCAGGTGGGAAAAAGTCCAACCTTATACCGCTTGGAGGTTTTCATTCAAGTTGTTCTAAGCATTGAAAAGAAAATTAGTCGTTCCTTTGGTGGGTAGGGAAGAGTAGACGGAATATTGTGCTGTTTCTTGAATTGCATTCATGTGAATGGTACCGAGTACTTTGTAATTACTTAATTATCCCATTAGAGCTTGGAGGTTCGAAAGAGTTCACTGCCCTCCTGGGAACTTGCTCTCAGCATCGTCTCAAAGAGTCTTCACCATATGGTGTTTCAACACAAATGTCTTCAGGGACATCTGTGAGAGTCCGATGATAAGTCTAACAAAAAGTTAGCGTATTTTCTATAATCAATGATATGCTTTTCTGGAGACCACTGGCGAATGGGGGGGAGGCGTGGGTACCATGCCCTCCCCAAAGGCCTCGAGTTTTCCTTTCCCTTTCTTTATTTGCCAACATTGATTTAAATATTCGTTTATGTTCGAATTACTTAATTATCTAATAATAATATTGTCTAGTACATCTACACTACCTAAATAATATGTATGTACTTTGGCAAACTACCTGTTTACGGCCTACCAGAAGCGTCCCGGCCTTGCGGACGTGGGCTAAGAACATACATAACATACATTATTATAATAACAAATATGTTTATTATTTCACCAAAATCAACGATGCCCCCCCCCCTCCGCGCAAATAATAGGCTGGATCCGCCCCTGCCGAAGACTAACTTGAAAACCAGGTCACCTATGATAAAGTAATATTAATTATCATAGACGTGTTCAGCAATATATATTTCACTTTGTAAAAGAGGGAAAGGAACGATAATTTCTGTAAAGCAGTCCTGGGGTACTTTTTGAGCGTGCTACAATCACGCTCGCCACAAGTCGAACGGCGGCCTAGGCTTAGAGAGGCATAGTACTCGTATGTCAGCATCATAGGGAAATAGATCTATTTAATAAAATGGTAAGCAATTGAAGATCTAATATTAAATAATATGAGACACTAAAAATGTATCACTCGTTATTTTCAAATTCGTTATTGTTATGAAATATAAATTGGTTGACAGTTAAAACAAAACATTATAAAACTATTTTTTAAAATAATCTTTGACAATAAGGACACAACATTAAGTCTATTTTTTATTATAAAATATACTATTATCTTACAATACACTTGAAGAAAAAGTCATTACAGTCTTATTGTGATGTGAATATTGAACCTCATTCGTCAATCGTATATGATGCCTTCCTACCATGATAATCCCAGCTCAAAGTACCAAAAACAGACTTTAATAACATTTCTATGCGAGCTGCAGAGGGATTACGAGTGACTGCTCGATCTCAAGCCATTGCTATCCTACAAAGTTCTAGTGCAACGATTTCTAACCTTTTTCTCTTTGCTAACCTCTTCTAAAAATTGAAAACGAAATAATCGACGTATAGAAATAAATTTGCGAATTACCTTTGTAGTCATTAGAATTAATAAAGAGAGTTATGAAAATTAGTTGTTATTAAAATTTAGTTTCCATATTGCATAATAGATCAAAACGAAAAAGGTAATATTAGTGTTCATTTACAGGCAATAAAACTTACGATCGATTAACCAAAACAAATTAATACATATTCTCGCAATTTAACACCCACTCTTAGTAAGCTGAAAACAAAATAAAATTATCTTTAGTCTGCATTATTACCCACTGCTCTTTAAATAAATTTATTTTTTAAAATTTTAAATGAAGATTTATTAAAAACATTGTTTTCGTTTGGAATTTAAAATTCTTCCATTGCTTTAATATTTTCGTAAACCTTCTGTAGAAAGCTCGCGAACCTCCAAAGGTAAATATTCTACGTACATCGTATATCATTTCTTACATACCGGAATGAAGGTAATATAACATGGGATTTAATGTGAAATACTGCGCTAAAATTCAAAATTAATAAAATTCCAATGAGTATGAAAAGGTTTCAAAATACTGTTGCATGACAATGTTTGTGTCTGTCTGAACTTCTGGGGAAGCGAAGATTGACGTCCATAACTCGACGACAGGCTTGTGAAGCAATTAGAAAGACTCAGTTTACAAAGTAACGAGCTGGTATCGAAGTTGGGTTTGGAATTACTGAGCAAAAAACTCCCGCACGAAAAGAAAATTTGAAATCAAAAGCAGCATGTTCAGACGTCTTTATACCAATCAAACACGAATCAGAGGCAATAACTATTACCGCTGTGAAACCAGAGCGTAAACGCGAAACACGAGCTAGAATTATTTTTTGACGGAAGGCAGAGATCCAGTCAATTTTGTCCCATCAGTCTTGCATTATCAAGCAGTGGTGGAATTCCGTATCGTAAAACCGCCGACGCTCGCTCTGGTTCGTCCGCCCGCCGTTGGGCGCGCCCATGCCGGAAGGAAATTAATTCTCGAGCTGATTAGGGAGGCCGTGAATCCGCAGGGCGTGTGCGTGAGTGCATGCATGGAAGGGCGTAGCCGTCAAGTGAAGTGGACGGTGGGAACATGACGTTTCCTGTTGCAGGGAACTCAGAGGAAGCAGCTCTGGAGCAGGAGCACATTCGGCTTTCCCTGAAAGCTCTTTTTTTTTGCAGAACGATGAACAATATAAGGTCGGTTCTCTCACGAAGGGGTTTCTTCAGAAGGTTTCGCTTAACGCACAACAAAATTAATGTTGCTGGATGCTGAGTAGAAAACTAAGGGGTGACGACGTGATGAAGTAGTGCATCGGAAAGCAGATAAGAAAAAATTAACATTGTAGAATATTTTGAAGTTTTTACATAATATATTAAATATTATATGTTTATATAAATTATGATTTATTTTCTTATCTGTTTTCCGATGCCCTACTACATCACATAGTCACCTCTTTTCTACTGAGCATCTAACAAGATTAATTTTGCTCGTGCGTTAAACCTAAACCATACACTAGAATATCTCTCTCTCTTTCTCTCTCTCTCTCTCTCTCTCTCTCTCTATATATATATATATATATATATATATATATATATATATATATATATTCATATATTCATATATATGTATACACTATTACTTTCCATCACAATTTCACACATATAATACATATCATCCTCTCGATTGAAGAATGTTTGAAGTACAACAACAGCCATTATCAATAAATAAAAACGTGGTATTATACAAATTTTCTTGTCAGTTTCACTCTATTCCCAACTTTACTATAACGGGTAAAAACAAGCCATTTTAAAAATTTCTTACTGCAGTTATGGTAGCACCAATGTCAGAACTCCCCAGAGTTTCTGTTACACCATCTCGACCGAATGAAGGCAGTGGCGCCGCGCCGCGGTGGGAAAGCGCTTGCTTCGGAGAATCCTCCCTTCCTCCTTCCCCCCGCCGCCCGTCCGGGGAACCCGGGAGCCGACGCACCCCGGAAAGGCGCACCCGTCCGCCCACCCGCCCGCCGGATGACCGGAAGCGGGCGGCGCATCCGGGGGCGACAGATCGTCGCCGCGTGAGAGTGCGTGCGCCGGACCGTGCGTGGGAGCGCGCTCCGCGTCGGCGGCGGCGGCGGCGTGCGCCCAGCCGTGTCCTCGGGGGTGGGGGCGGGCGAGTGGCGTTTCCCCTCTTGTCGGGCCCGCCTGGGGGGATAGTGATTATACGAAAAGAGCATCCATTGACTGCTTTAATTTTTGCGGTTATTAATATTTTTTTAAACCCTGCTGTACTGATCGAAGCTTTTTAACCCTACTGTACTCTTCGATGTTCTTTTTACCGTGCTGTACTGTTCGAAGTGTCTTTCACGCCGCTGTATTGATCGAAGATTTTTAATCTTACTGAACTGTTCAATGTTTTGTTGTTTTTTTTAACCTGCTGTACTGTTCGAAGTTTCTTTAATTGTGCTGTACAGTTCGAAGTTTTGTTAACCATGCTGTACTGTTTGAAGTTTTTTAACCCTACTGTACAGTTCGAACGTTTTTTAACCCTGCTGAACGGTTGATCTGCTCGGATCTGTATGACCCGGAAAGTTGTTTTACATACTAGCAATAATTAAAAAGGGATCTTGTTGGTTCTTCCTATTTTTAAAGTTGAATATTGTATAGAATTACATATAATGTAAATTTGATCAGAAGTTATTCCTTTATTAAGCATTAATAATTTATTGTAATATGGGCAAAATAAATTCCTGCTGATTTATAAGCATGTCTCAGGACAAATACAACCCAGAATGTACATTTTATTTCCATTGCCTACTTGAGAAAATATATAACTATTACATACAACATCGTAAAGCAATTGTTGAAATCTTCATTTTTCGAGCATTGCTACAAGTTATTATTTCGTGTGATAATTCCGAAATGCTTTACACGTACTTATTACATATGTACTATATACTTATGCTTACACATACACTTATTAATTGGATACGTACCCACGTATCTTATAGCAATATTTCAATAGTTTACAGCAAACAATGTGATGAAAATGAACTTTGAAACGTTTTAATTGTTTACTTGAAAATTTTCGAATATCATGTGTTCAGAATCATCCATTTTATTTTTAGAACTGTTCTAAATTTGAAAATATCTTATAACAAATAACTTTAAAATACGTTTAGTCCGAATTTTTGGAGCATACGTTTGGATAATTCGAAGCCAGATTTATTTTACTTCATTTTTTTGAACGTCTTGGCGTTTTGAGAGGTTCTAAAGTGCTATTTAATTTATCTGATGACTCCCAGAAAGTAAAGTTTTAGAAAGAAATACTAAACTGACGTTGAAGAGACCAGGAAAATTCATTGAGGCGCAAAAGTTAGGAATCAAAAACTTGTCGTCAATCACTATGTCGATGAGAGAAGTCGTACCACAGAACAAATCGGATGAAGTGGTTGAAAAGCTGCAGATTATTTGATATGGCATTATACCCTTAAGGTTGTCCAGAAGGAAACACTGTAAAGGTCTGATATAAACGTACGTTTAGTAATTTACGTATTTTTATCTTGTTAAAATGAAATCAATGTAGTAGGTGAACATTTTCATTTGTAGATTATTTTGGATAATTTTAATGAAGAGTTGTAATTAAACGCAGTTCAATATTCTTCTTTTGGTAGAATTTTTTTTCATTGACCATATGGTCTCTCCAAAACGTCAGTTAAAATACATGAAGTACAATCAAAATGCTCATAAGAATTTATTTTTTCTTTATAGATTTTTTGTTATTATGTGGTAATTACTCTTTGAATATTGCAATGCCTTGACATTTAATAAGAAATCGATCATTACACCGACAGCACGACAAATTTCTCTACGGTTGTTCTGTAACTTTACTGATGTATCGCTAGTATGATTAACTTCATGAGTCAGACATTATTGTAAGCAAGGTTAATGAAATGACTGATAACATTATTGGAGTCAAACTTTCTGTAATTATATATTACGTCAGCAAATTAGCAAAAAATTGCTTACAAAAGTTTGAGACCTTTTTTAAATCCTTTTTCCCTTTTATTTTATTTTTTTCTGCAAAGGAAATGGTTCACTCTGCAAATGAGAATGTCGGCCTCTATACTAATCTACGCTGGAAAATTATTCTTCATGAAACGATGTAATGTAATTATTGGTCACTTAACCTTTCCTGTACAAGTCAACTCATTTATTGGCAGTATCAGAGCTTTTATATTATGTTGTTTTGCTTGTGTATTTCGTTTTCTCATTAACGTCTAATTCATAAAGAGAGACGCATGAGTCAAGGTTTCTCTGCAGTTCTGAAAGGTTGTAGTGAAGTCGATTAGAAACAGGTGAAAGGTGAAGTGATCAGTCTTGTGTTTGCCAAGGAAGGCACAGATGAAGTTGTCAATAAAAAGAGACACAAAAGCATGCTTGTAAGAAGATTTTATTTTCATTTTTTTGGAACGGAAAAACTTCAGTACATCAGTTAGTTATTTACATTTACCCAGTGAGTTACAATGGGTCACAATATGTATGAATACTAAATGCGAAGTTTCCAAATAGTGGTTTTGTAAGTGATTACTATTAACAAAAATGTCCATTATAATCTCTTTAAAGTCGGGGAATTTGGGGATTACAATTTCTCGAAAAACCAGGTAACTGTATCTACAGTATAAAACTCCTATTACGAGCAATGGAAATCAAGCAGAAGAAAACCCCCTAAAGAAATAATAATAAAAGCTTATGCAGAGTGCCAGTAAGACACACTAGCACTGCCTCTATTTCAAGACAACGGAGGTTTCGATGTGAGATCGGTACATTATCTTACGGAATACTTTCACGCATTATTACCTAAAATAATAGAAAAAATCGCCATGATACATTTCGCCATTCTTGGGAACAGTGGCCAGGTCATGAATTTGTTATAATTTTATTGCAATATATTTTGTCAATTTGACGTCGCATTGGACAATATGCATCAATAACGCGCACGACCTAGTTGATTCTTTTGTTGGATGCTGTATTCTTCAAACATCTGAATACTTTAAAGAAAGTTCGCCACCACGTTTCTACATTTTTTATTAGTCTTCTTTTAATATTAAGTAACTTGATAATTTCCTTTGCAACAAAAATGTCTGCAGTTTCATTTCAGGTTGATGGTGAACAGCCAGGCAACCAATAACATTCAAAAAGGCAATGTCACTTATAACGAAGAGATCTCCAGCAATAATTGCTCATGTATTAAACTTATTACGACAGTGACCATCATGCCAATAAATTTCGGAATTTACTTGTAAATATTCCCAGATCGAGTAATGAGGATGGTGACGAAGTTCAACATTACGGGGATTATGACCCTGATCAGAAACTTGATAATAGATTCGGCGATCCTTAGGCCACATGGCATGGCAATTTATAATACAGTATCATATTTCCCTACGTATGATTGTATTTTCAGTTAAAGGAAGACTGCAGACTGTGGAGGAAATCAAAAAGCAAAAGCATACCAGGAAATGACCAGAAAACCGATGAACAATACCAACGAAAAAATGTGACTACGACATAAAACATGAAAGAATCCACCATTTAAAACCTTAAAAACTCGTATTATGGGGTGAATCATGGCAGCATTGAATGTAGTAGCATGGCGATACGAAAATGAAATATTTCCGTTGTAGTACATTCAAGAAAACACTTATATTTACCCTTTCCTCTATTTTTTCCCTCTAATAAAGGTATTTGAATATCGCTCTAATTCATAACCAAATGGTGCTATTCGTTCTTTCGTTTCATTTTCAAATCTTAATCCCAAATCTTCAGGTCAGTCAAGTTAGCAAAGTTACAAAAAAATAGTTTTAAAATTTGTCTCTTTTTGTAGCTAATTTGTTATGCACCTATTGCAAACTACCGAACAACAAAAAAGCAACAAATTCTCATATTTTGAAACCGATATTTAAATTGTGGATGTTACTTTAGAAGTCCCTCAGACATGTTCAAACTTTTTGGAAAATGGCTCCATCATGTTTTTATTAAGTTATGTTGTTGGATAGTGTGAACGACGTTTAAGAGAACTGTCATTTTCTTTAAAAACTCTGATTTTTCGAAAATTGCAAAAGTTCAAAATTGTTTCGGCGTCTTTCTATAACTATAATTATGAAGGTAGATATTTTTCCCTTAATGAAATCTGTTCCTTAAAGATAGATTTCGAAATAAGGTCATGTAAGACTTTTCGAAAATTTGAGTACTTTTCGAGTAATTTTGCGTGAAAGTATGAGCGATAAAATACGTGCTATTTTAGCACCACTTTTTTAAAAAAAAACGTTGCTACCCTTACTTTACGTATCACAAACCACCTTCTGTACTGCCACCGTGTCCACGTGGAGTGCGGTTGCTGGCGGGAACGAGGGGGCTGTCTGGACAACAGAAGCTGTTGCAGCGAGATGCTCTCGCGGGCAGTGGTGGAGGGAACCATGGGGTGCTCCAGAGAGATCCGTGGGTATGCCCCCAGCGGTACGCGCCCCACCTGACCGGTCGTGCGTCCGTCGTGCTGCGTGGCGGCACGCGGCGAGGGGGCCGCTCCCCCTTCCCCCCCACACACACGCGTTATCTGCGTGCAGAGGGTCGCAGCGCTCACGCATGCACGCGTGCCCCACGGCCCGAGGGGCCCGGGCCGGCACGCCGACTGTGACGAGGAGGGGAGATGTACCGTG